TAATATTAATTGACTTTTTTATCGGGTATCATAAAAAATCAACGGTTATTTTGCCCGCACCAACAAGGCTACAAAACAAAAAATACAAAAAAGGAAAGAAACAAGTTATACAAATTGTAAGAAATGTGTGGCCCAATATTTTTTATACAGGCCTAGAGGAACCGTTTGCCGAAAAAAGGGCACGCAAATATTTAGGAAAGATGCTAGAAAATATAATTTTTTAATTTCGTTTATTATTAATGTCGTCAGCTCTTATACCAATGGGTCACAGCTCGCACCCAATTAACGGCTCGGTGCATCGGACACCGTTAGCGTTCACCGAAACGTAGCAGTATATACCTGTAATGCAGTAATTGCATTACTTAAAACTGAGATAAACTTTTTCTCGCACAATTTACGCTTAATACAAAAAACGGGCTTTAAAATTTAAAAAATCAGTATGAATTTTCAAAAACAACTTTTTTGTTTGCTTACAAATTTCAATTAAAACTTGTCGCTGGCCGCGAATTTAAAGCTAAACGACGTGTAATATAAAAATTGTAATTAATTTAAAAAATGTTTTGGCACATTTTTTTTCAATCCTGATAACATGGCTATGACAGGATAATCAGTATATACGTAAGCTTTGTTTTGTAAAGCCCCGTATTCATGGGAAACATTTGTTGAGCAACAAAGTTGAATCAACGTGTTGCGGAGTTGCTGTCAACATGTTGCTGGCAACACTGCGTGTTGCAGAGTTGACAGCATCATGTTGACAAGCTCTCGCCCGACAAGCGTAAACATCAGTTTAGCGACAATTGTTGACGTGTGTGGACGAGTTTGCAACAGTTTATAAACATGGCAGTAGTGTGGAGCAATGATAAAATAATGCAATTAATAGAATTATTTCAATCAAAACCATTATTATGGGATTGTTCTATAAAACAATACAAAGATAGAAACAAAAAGAACGATGCATTCGAAGAAATTTCTCAAGTCCTAAATATACCCAAAAAAAGACGTAGAAACTAAAATACATGTACTGCGTACTCAATTTACTAGAGAGAAAAAAAAGATGTCGGCAAAAAAAACTACAGGCAGCGGCGCAATAGAAAAATGTAAATGGATTTATTACGAGCCATTGGAATTTTTGTTATGTGGTGCAACTACTTCTGGTGAAACGGATACTATGAATAAAACAGTAAGTTGTTTTTGTATATAATTGTTTTATACTATTGTCTGTAAAATTATTACAATTACGCTACATTATTTTGCCATGGAACTCTTCCCTCTGGAGTTATAAAGTAATCGGCAAACTGTTCTCTAATACAAAGAGCTGATTGTGATGCAGGCCTGCCCCGTCTTTGCAAATCAATCATAGGAAACGAACTTAGTTCCCTTCGCCAAGAACCTTCTAATAGGTTACCTTCAGAGTCTTCAAAATCAAAAGTTTGTGGAGGTGTATATATGGATCTGGAAACTGAGTTACGTCTTAAGAAGTTATGTAAATATACACAAGCAATTACCACGAGTTCACAATTGGCTGGTTTTAACGGAATAGGTTTAGTGAATACACGGAACACCACACATAAAATGCCAAAAACATTTTCTATAATCCTCCTAGCTCTTGATAGTCTGTAATTGAATATACGCTTTTTGTTCCCACGTTCATGAATGCCAGGATATGGTTTCATGATGTTCTCCGTTAGCGCGAAAGCACTGTCACCTACAATTACATACGGCATTTCTGTTCCGCCTTGTGTTATTGGTTCAGGCCGTGGCAGTTTAAGTGAGTTTTCTAACAATGCATTATAAAACGGTGTTTCTTGAAATATTCCACTGTCGGACGACCGACCCTTAGCTCCATAATTTGCGTAAATAAAGTTGTAATTGCCATCTGCAATTGCCATAAGTACCATGCTGAACTGATTTTTATAATTGTAGTATTCACTTCCAGAATTATTTGGCGCCACAATCATAACGTGTTTCCCATCAATGGCCCCAATGCAATGTGGAAAATTCCATCGTATTTCGAATTCACGACTTATTTGTTTCCATTCTTGTTCCGAACTTGGAACCTAAAAAATAAATAAATATATAATAAGATAATAATTTACAGGTAGATGAAAACAATGCACTTGAAAGTGGTATGGAGTCAGAGCCATCTCAATCACCAAGGCCGAATGCTACAACATCTACATCTTCGAGGAAAAGAAATAAGACAGATGAATCAAATGAAATATTAGAGGTTTTGAAAAGTGCTAAAAAAAAGATGGATGAAAGGGAGAAGAAGGATCCATTTGATATATATGGTGAATATATTGCTGCTGAATTAAGAAGTGTTAAAGATGACCAAGCCGTGACACAGGCAAAGTACCATATTAATAATATACTGTATGAATTAAAAATGGGACGATATAATACATATGGATATCAAACGGCATCTTCTCATCCATCATCAACACCAAATAATGTTCAGGAAACTGAAATAAGGGAAATTGAGAGACACGAAACAAATAGACTAGATGCATTACGAGACGAAACAGAAGATTCGGCTATACTAAACTTAGTTAACTATCTCAGTGATGAATCAACGCAATAGCATACACTGTTTTTTTTTTGTGTTTTTTTAATTAATAAAATACTTGATTACACAAATAGTGTTCTTGTACCTTGACATATCCTGCTAGTGAGTTAATTAGTTCTTGACATACATCTGGTATAATTTTGCTAATCAATTGTTTTGATACTTTGAATGTGTATGAAAGAGAACTGTATGAATCTCCAGTTGCAAGATACCGTAATGTAATAGCCAGCCTCGTTTGAGGTGAAACTGGCTGACGAATATTTGTTTCCCTTTTGGCTATTGATGGACCAATCATTTCTAGAAGATGTTCGAAATCACTTTTCGACATTCTCGTAAAGTTACAAAATGATCCATCTGTCATTCTGAGGTCACTCATCAAATTTTCTCTTTGCAAAAGATAATTTCGAATCCACCATCTTTTTCTCTTTTTTTTATTAGAGATTCTATACATCTGATACAGAGAACACAACAACACTACCTCCTCGGGCAACATTTTAACGCAGACTGGCGTGTGGACAACCTGTATTGATTTAAACATAGTTGCTAGCAACATTCTCGCCGCTCACCAACAATGTTTAGCAACTGTTGCTAAACAAATGTTTACCATGAAAACGGGGCTTTAGGTTCCTAAGATTTAGTTTATACACATTACAAAGTTATAGTTTATAACCCTTCGCAGCGTGATGTCGAAACTGTGCAATTCACAAAAACACTTTATCCTTGCCAACAAACTAGAGAATCAGGCAAAAACCTTTACACTTGAATTGCAACTTGCAAGATTCGAATTGAAACTCAACAATATTAATAAAATCATAACAGACCCTACGTTTGCTTTAAATTGGCTTCAGGAGTGTTTTTTATTCATTGTAAGGCAGTACAATAAACCTATTTTTGTTGTTTTCGGTGACAAAAGAAAGAAAAAACTCTTTACGAGGAAAATATTTGTATTTTCGTATTACGAATTATCTCAAAACTACGCCATCAAAATGCTACACTATCCCTGATCATGCTATATTAATTTACGAAAGATTAAAAAAGAAATGCCCTGACGCTTGAAGTCATGCTGGTAGTAACTTATAGGGACATGGTAATGACTTAAGATACGCCATGATTAAAATAATAATGTACCCATTTCCGAGCGATAATTGATATCGGTTTGTCGATGCAATCGGCTAAGTGTTGACAAAAAAGCAAGCATTTATCATCCTTGTTAAGAAACTAGCACAAGGAACCGATTCGCACGCTTCGATAATAATTCTAAAGACGTATAGATTGGTCGACCATCTTTATTAGCATAAGGGTCATAAAATGTTATAGTATTGCTTATATTTTTGCGGCGATATTAGTTGGGATAAGAGAGCTTATGAATAGAAAATCGTCATCGTTATTGTTTTCTGAAACATAATTTCACTTTTATGTGTATCATAAATATAAATGAAATAGATTCAATAGTTTAAAATATATTTAGGTATTTATGAAAAAAACTCTTCTATACGAAATACTTGTATATAAAGCTTCTAATGATGATAATTAAAAAAAACTATTGAGAAAAAGAACAGTGAAGTAATACAACATGTAATTTTTTATCGGTTAGTAAATAAACTTTCAAATCTCACAGCCATACATTCAATTATATATAACAGTTCTCAGCTACTAAATGTAATGTTAAATTAGTTAATTACTGACTTAAAATGATACGGAAGTATATTACTATTATGTATGATTTAAATAACTACGTACGTTTAGAGTAAGATATATAGGATAGATTTATAGGCTCAACTACGAAGCATCATATCGAACGACTTATCGCCTGGGGACTCTAGAATCGTTCCCCAAACAAAAACCTCAATCCAACAGCAGCACAAACGTACGACATTTCCATAATTTCTCTCGTTACTGCGAGCTTTCGATAACATCAGCCTTTACTGGCTTTCAACTAGTTTAATTAAACTTTTAGCCACGAATACTGTGAAATATTCTCGTTATCAAGTATCACCTCGATTTGCAGCACTTTATCAAGATATTTAATGAAAATTACTTAATTCGGAACACAAAGTGGCCTGGATGTATGCTGGGAATCAGTGCTATAAGATTGTCACAGCAAGATTGAAAAAAAAATGAGATTTATGATTAACAAAAATTCTGTAAATAATTAAAACTTTCCAATAATGTTCATATGCTCATTATCATTATTGAATATTAAACTCATTACCTCCACTCACACATTCCTTGATATAAAAGAAAACGTGACGAAACAGGGCAGATATTTTCCTTATACAACCACACTTCTTGGTAAATAATCAAACCATATAGGTACGATTTCACTAATGATAAGCCTTTTTAAGCCTTAAGTTTCTATGTCTGTTTCCTTAATATTTTTTCTAACGTTTCTGAAATCTCTCAACAAAAATCCATTAGGTTGAGAGTCGCGCGCTTATACTCTGCTCATGAACATTACAAAGGGCACCTGCTGTATGTGATAAAGACTCATTATTGGTGTCCAACTGAGCGACGACATTAGCATACCCATTATGGCCTGTTTCACTGTATAGACGAAAAACTATAGGTAGTTTGACGTCGACAACCGTAGAGAATGAGTAGGATTGCCTACGAGTTCACAATGTTAAGTAGTTTTTTATTGTAAAGTAAATGGAATGATTCGTTCGGCTTCGATCTATGAAGACTGATAGTAGTTTTTAAGTTAGACGGGATACAAAATAAACCAGTGTCACTACAACCTTTTTGGATATGGGCCTCAGATGTCTGTAGGTATCTGTTTCATGAACATTAGTCAATTTACTTGGTATAAAGTAGGTGAACAGACTCCTGTACAATGTACATGGCACACGCCGTCGACTTTTTGCGCTTACACTGGATACGTATCTAGTATTTGTTTCTCATTCACGTGAATGAGAAAAAATACTAGTCGACAAAATGAGATTGTAAAACAAAATAGAACGTTTTGTTTAATTCTGATTAGACGACAGCATCTCTACCAATCCCTCTACAATTCGTCTTTTACATTTTCAGCGTGTTATATTTTATAAACATCGAAATATGTATAGGAACGAAAACATTGCCTAAAATCCGCATATTCATCATTAAAACCAAACGTAAGTCCAAAAATCCTCTTTGACGCTTTTTCCTTTTTGCCAAAGTCGATATCACTAAGGCGGCGCATCCATAAACTTTTTAATTAAACGTTGCAAACTGTAGGGGCTTAACGATCGCATTTTTCTAGACTCCCTTCGCACGTCTCACTCGGGGGAAATCTTGGCACAGTAGGAATAATTGCTAGAATTAATAATGCAAAATCGGGAGACAGTCTGTGAAGCAATTCTTTTTATCCTCAAATGGATTATATTTGCATGCGGAAGCTTTACGTCAATATTAGTTTAAAGACATTTTCGAATAGTGGCAGTTACCTTTTTGTATTCACTATTGACATAACTATTGTACGTTGCTTCACAAAATATTTAGTTAAACCAATAAAACTATTATTAGACATTTTTAACTTTGAATTTTGAGACTTTTAACAATTTTGTGTTATTTTAATTTACACATACGTACGTCATATAACACCTTAAATATTCCTGTTTAGAAGTAACTGGCGTTGACTATAATTTTTAATTTCATCTATAACATTTTTAAAAACTTCAGAACTCATTTTTGTATAATCTTACCGGATAAAGCTTATCGTATAAAATAGCTCCCGAAAACATTTAACAATATCAAAAACTTGAAAGCTCAAGGCGTTTTGAGTTACATAAGTTAAAAAGCTTACCTCTGAGTATTTGGTAGAGGAATACTTTGATGTGGTCGGCTGAGAGGTGTTGCGGCGAGACGATGATCTTGTGCAGGTCGCTCTGAAGAAGCTCGGTGATTACATAACTGTATTTAGCTGGTTAAGGAATATTTATAGAAAATAAACACAAAAATATTAAAATAAGGTTCAATATAGCATATACGATATGATTCATTAGATAATGTGGCATTTCATACGAATAAAATATATAATAGAAGGGTATTAACGCTTGACCCGATACTGTAGTTTTGAAGTTATACTTCTTTTGTCGCGTTAGGGAAAAATTATGTGAGTAATTTTTTTATACTGATAGTGTAGTTTTTCCTACAAACGTAGACAGATAAAAATTTTGAATAGATTTTTATATTGTTACGCCAAAAAAATATAACTTCTAACGCGGGCACATAAGTAGACACACGTTTTTTTTAATAAAAGCCGAATTCAGAGTCGTTAATTATAAATAAATAATCCTTACATATTGTACAAAGTAGGCCCCCGACTGAGTTAGTTGTCTGTGTTTCTGCGATGTTATTAACTACAGAACTGATTTCTACGATTTTAAATAGATATTGTGATTGAGAAAGGTTTAAACATAAAAATCATTAAAGTATTATGTAAATTAAGTTAAATATAATAAGTATCGTTCAAGAGGTCTCAAAACTGCTTGCCAAAGCCAGTTGTACTCCATATTTAAAAAATATTGCGATTTAGCTGTCAAATGTATTACCGAATTACTTACTTAAGAAAGCATAGAGAATTAAAAGAGGATTTTAGAAATCTATACTGAGCTTTAAATATTTCGTAATCGTCCTACATAACCTTTAACTCGACTCCTATGTTTATGAAACACCCAAAATAAATAAAATTTCTTTGTTATATTTATCAGGCGATAAGCACCTACTTAACGAATTTGAATTCGTTGAAATTCAAGTAGCTAAAGATTTTCGATAATACAAAGTGGTCTGGAGACTCAATTTTTAGAAAATTAAAGAGTTTTTCTATGCCCACTTAAAAATAAACGTTTTGAAAGCCGTTGCCTAAAAAATAAAACAAGACTAAATTTTTGACACAGGGGTAAATTATTTTCTAGGGCTCTCTGCAGTGCGGTATTTAAAACCTGTGCGTTAATGAGCATAAAGCGTCATTTTCTATCGACCCGGTTAACGCTAACGTTACGGTCGGGAGACCCTGGGGGGCGTGTAGATATGGAAAGTTACACGACAGTATAGATTATATATGTAGGATAATAAATACTCAGTATTGCTTCATATAATATTTATATGAACTTATACTGAGACGTGGGACTAAGTAGAGCTTCCTCAACTGTTTCTGAACAAGAATAAAACAGATAACATCTAAGTTATTTTATGTATATGTAGTCCCTTAGCTGGGGTAGATAACCGTATACGAAAAATATGCATTAAGAACAACTTTTCTTTGATACCCGAAATAAACACTTATTACCTTTAGATTAATAAACGCCACCAGTTATGCAAAAGCACAATTAGCGATTAAAAGAGTGGCGGAGAGTTTATTGCCAGTTCTTCTCTTCCGTTCTATTTGATTTGAGAACTGACGTTCATAAGTGTACATCGTGTTACCTATATGAATAAATGACTTTTGACATTTGTAATATACGTGTAAGTTTCCTTTAGTTTTAGTACAAATACCAAATAAAAGAACAAAATAGTCAAATTTTGTGCTATTTGTCTTTGCAAAGCACAAATAGCACTAACTAAACAACTTGATCATACCTATTTACGTTTAAGGTACGCATATATTTCCTAAGCTGAAAATAAAAATGGCGCGAGACGGGTCAGATCCCTCGGTACTATACTGAGGACCAAGACGCGTCAAGAGACTATTGTCACGAAGGCTTTGCTATCTATTGTCTATATTCTTTTGTCTGTAAGTCTTATCTATGGTACCTTAGCCGAATTTTTATCTCCAAACGAAAAACATATAAAAAAGTGTAATGTTGTGTTTGGTTTTTTCATAGACAGAAAATGTCCCTTATTATCTCTCGATTTTTAAATGACAAAACATATTCATATCACATTATATTGCAAATGTAAGCAAACTACACTTAATAAGCTAAAAATAGGGAAATATTTCCGGGAGGCAGGGGCTGAATAAATGTGGGATTTATTCGGGTTTAGAGTGAAAACAGTTAACATTAAAAATGTTATTTGAATATTACAGTTGGTTATATACTGTGCAATATATATTTTAACTCTAAATAAGAGAGTGTGCTGGTAAACAACCTATTTTATAATTAGATAAAAATCACCGGCGCCACTACGTTTTAGGTCTGGGCCCAAGATTTCTGTATCTGTTTCATGGTCATTTGTTTTTGTTTTTTTTTTAATAGACAAGTAGGCAATTAGGCGTCCTGACACACGCTGTCGAGTTTTTTGGTTTGAGGCATGCCGGTGAACTCACAATATTTTCCTTCATCGCATGACGAGTGTTAAATGCACATATTTTAACCGACATTGGTGGTGCAAAGCTGGGGTTCGAACCTACGACATCAGGGATGAGAGTCGCACGCTAACGCCAATAATAGCAATATTTGAGATATATTAAATAACATTTAAAATAATAATAATATTCTATACCCATACATTACACGTCTGCCACTATGTATTACGCGTTAATGAATATGTTAAATATATAGAACAACCGTGACACACTCAATACCTTGAATATGCGAGTTTGAAATGCAAATGTTACTACTACTCCCTGTTAATATATTATTATTGTAAATCTCCCGTGGCGTTGGACAAGGCACTCGCTTTAATAATTTACTAATGTGTCCATTTCGAAATAACCACACGATTAACTTCGAGCTGTGCATAATTCAAGGGGTTTACGATTTACATCTCAATGAACTACATGGAAGATCCTTGTGTTGCCTAGCTCTTAGATTTTCATGATACAAAATAAACCGTATTAAAACTAAATCAGGCCAACACGATTTCAAATGTAGTACTTAATTATTTATTTCTGTCAAAAGTCTAAGCATTAGTTTAAAGAAACATAAAGTTTGATGTAAGAGATATATATGTTCATAATGCTAGCCGGTCGAAACTGGAGCCACAGTAGGTATACGACCGTGACAAATAGGCATTTTTTAATGAGGCCTTTACCCAATATGGGGTCCTTTTATCTCTAAATAAGAAATATAATTAATATAAAGTAAGTTATAATTATAACAGAATAAAATTAATTATTAAAATTTAAGATTAATAACTAATAAAATATATTGATAAAACAGACTAAGTTATAACGTGAAATACAAAGATTTAAAGGCTGCTTTTTATTTGTTGTAATATAGTTTAATGTTTACATGTTTGGACAAAGAAGGTTTTTTTTTATTTACAGAGATGACACAAAAACTCATCAATCGAATATCTAAATATTAGCGAAACAAAACACAAACTATTTTTTTAGAATGAGTGTATGACGTTTGTTTGCCCAAGAAATATAGAAAAATATGGTAAACCAAAAGCGTGGAAAGAAATTATGAAACTGACAGAACAAATAGGGGAAAAGTTTGGCAAACGAACGTTGCGTCGTAAATGTTTACTGTGGCATATTTCAGTATTTAACCCTTATCCGGGTATAATAAAACTGAAACATATTTTCTGTTATTATTCAAAAGCAACGTTGCCATAGCGGCTAAATAGTGCTACCCTCATGGCTAAGAACGCGTAATCGAATCACGGCTATGGATCAATTGAATTTTCTTTCTATGTGCGCAATTAGAACCTACTAAAGATATCCCAAAAATCGCTGACGTGTCATTGTCAAAATTATTTATCGAAGAAACAGATACAATCTGAGGCCAAGACCCATCTAAAGCATCGGTAGTTTTTAAGTTTGTATTTATTTACGAACGTTGAATGAAAAATATATTTGTATTTTTTTTCTGATAAATCTGTATTAATAAGCTAATGTCTTAAGACTAATTAAATATATTCCAAATAATAACAAAGTATTTCCCTTTACAAAATGTAACATTATTACTATTGTATAAAAACAATATATACTTACAAGCTTTATAGTGGTAATCGTAAAATAATAGATATTATTATCACGTTTTACGATTTTCGTAAATAAAAGCTGTCCCCAGTGCGAGGGTGAAACGCAACAATGATTCGCAAGAAATGGCACCCAATAGGGAGAGGGCATAGATAGACAGTTTAACAAAAACTATTTCTAGTTAAATCGTACGATTCCATAAATAAAATACACGTGATTCAAATAAATAATCTTCGTAAGTGTGGGTTATTCTTACACTGATTTTTTATCATAAGGTGCCCTGAAGTATTCACGATAAACGTTTTATGTGAGTAATGCATAATCGTTATGTAACTAAATCAAGCCGATTTAAACATACAGGCTTCAGTTACACACACACAAACACAAATACACACCCACACTCTATACGCATTATCTCTGTATATTTAGTTGGTTAGTCTGTATGTAATTGGCGTTTTTATTAAAAAATATATTTACTATTTTATATTAGTTAAGTAATGTGTACGTAAGGGTCTTCTACATAAATATTGAGTTTCATAATTTACTGATTTCAGGGGTCTAAGCTATTCAATATTCATACACTTCTCCAAAAGCCTTATCCATTTAAGTAAACGTTTATTAACTAAACAGTAGCTCTGATTTCAGGCACATCATAAATGCTTAAATCTTGATTTATTTGATGTTAAATACATGTCGTACATATATAAATACCCAACGGAAGTAAGCGTTTTGTTAAATTCATGGCAGACGGTAAGTCCAAATAGTTTAAACTCTCTGGGTTCAAACGCAGGGGATGCACCCTCATGGCCCCAACAAATACAATGGAGCTGAAACTGCTGCGTAACGCAATTGTTTCGACTACTTCGACTAATTTTGAAATTACTTCAACTATAATCATTTGTGACTAAGACGAAAGCTTCATCCATATCCATTAGCGGAAATTCGGGAAACTCGAGCTTTGATTCGAATTCCATATTCAAAATACTGTAATTGTGTATAAATTCATAAAAATACATGTTATAATTTTAACAACTACTAGTCGTCAAGTTGGATCAAGTGTTTCGAATAGGGTAATGTATAGTGGTAGTTGCGTTCTTGTTGCCTTAATCACTAATCCTTTAAAAAACCGTGCTGCGTGATTCCATTATTCACTTTGACATTTATATAATGGCAACTAAGCCTCTTTTCTATATATTCCTTTATATGGCGCATACACACTTTTGTTTACTGGCGACCGGAGGATGTAACGACCGGAAACGGTGCGGGCGCAGCTGCTCGAACACGTCAACAAATATCTGTCTGGTATCACTTGTTCCTGGATTCCATGACCCATGACAATTTAAATGTTTTAATGCTGAGTACGTCAGCTGTTTACTCAGCTATAACTGCAGGCGGCATTTGAATCTAAACTCCGATTCGAGAACTCCAGTAATGGCAAAGCACATAATAGTTCTATACAGAATTCTTAAAAAATAAAATAATTGACGAAAAAGGATTCTTTCATTCAATCCGCCTACATCTAAATAAATATAAGCACGAAATATCCTTATCTGAATGTCATTAACAGTCTCTTATCAGTCAGACCCATTCGTAACCGATAAGTTGTTGGGATTTGAACCCAAAACATTTTGCCAATGATGTTTTTACGAAAAAAGGAAAGAAAAAAAATTAACAGACTCAAGCCTAACAAAGATAAAAATAGATATTATACTGCGCAGTGTTCATTTCATACTAGTCTTTTTATATTGTTAATGTGACGATAAATAATTTCAGCGCATGCGCCTTATAAGCCAGAATTAAATGTTTTCTATTTTGTTTGCAAGAGGCGTCACAGTAAACGCAAATCTTGAGACCGAGAGAATTGTTATAAGAACTTTAAAATGCTTCTTTAAAGTTAGGATTTCTAGGAGCAACCCGGAAGTACATTCCACAAGAAATATAAAAACAAAGCGATTCAAGGAACCGCATTATATACGTTATATTTGTAAGAACTTCCAAAACGGAAACTTCACAACTCGTAACTTCACATAAATTCAAAGCTCTTTGTGAAGACCGGATCCTCGGCTGATGACTGGAGTTCGCTTAAACTCAATTTAAACCAATTCTGTATGACTCAATTTGTAACAAATAATGTACGTAGTCTCCCAAATTCTTCATAAATGGAAATAATGATAAAAACAAAGTACTGTCGTTTGTAATGAGTGTATATCTTCTTGTCTTAATTAAGGAATAAAAAAGCATAAAAATATTCGAAATAACCCCTCTTTTTAATCAGGCCCTTAGCGTCGCGGCCATCGTCTTCGCAGCCGCCCATATTCGTGTCGTTTCAGTCACTGGTTTTTTTAAAGTGACTTCAGATTCTCCAAATTTTCATGAGGTTTATCACAGACCTTCCTCTCTAAGCCCTGTCATAATTTCTGGTCCAAAGGATTAAGGTCCGGACTGGAGGAAGGCCAATCCTCATGTCTAATTAAGACGTGTTTTGACGCTCAACCGGCTTTGTGGTCTGGCTTTGTATGCAGACGCAGAGTCCTGCTGGAACACGAAGTGTGTCCCGCAAATGGGTGCTGGACATGTCTTTGACAAGGCGATACAAACCGTCTCTTGGTACACTGTAGCACTGGTTTTGACCCCCTTTTCGAAAAAATTAACCTCAGTTAGCCCGTAATAGGACCTCCCAACCAAACCATTACTGATGTGGATAATGTCCTGTTGCCCCTTGGCTTTTTTTCGCTTCTTCAGAACTCCTAGCGTACCTGTTATTCTGTTTTTGTCTTCTCTTCTTCGAAAAATTTTTCGTCCGTAAAGAGGATATCACGGTGTCGGTTTTTCGCGTACCGCTTAAACAACACCCGCGATCTCTTAGCCTTATTGCTTTTGCGAGCATTAAGTAAGTGCCCACTCTTTTTTTGTATGCTCGTAGACCAAGATCTTCATTTAAAACCTTTTTTACTGTTTTCCTACTGACACCCATCTGCAATCCATCACTTCTGTTTTCGGACAGGTTTCTTACTATCCGCGCCTTGTGCTTTGATTACTGCTGGTGTTCTTGCGGGCGTGGCCAGCCAGTTCTTTTCTTGTCCTCAACACTGGAGCTTCGGTCCTATCAATAGTACCGTACACAAACCTAGCGTTTATCATTTTTGAGCAACTTGAAAATGGTACTCGGCGAGTGTCCACAGCGGTGCAACGCAATAACAACTACTCGGTTTCTTTCAATGTCCACTCCATCGTGAAAAATTCGGAAGTTATTGTTTTTTGTTTTAAAACAATAATCAAACTTCCAAAATGATGCTATTTTTTTATAAATCCTGCTCGAAATGTAGAATTGTGCTGTGACAGCTTTGGGCCACTCGTTATCATGTGTTCTTAGTAAAAACAAAGTTCAAATCCCTCAATTTTATTAAAAGATATTCAATTGAATGGAAAAGAAAGTCAGAAATGTGCTTTAAGAGACAGAGACAGACATTAATTCGGAAATTCCGTTTTTTAATTACTCCGATAGAATCATATTACTAATTGAAATATCTATTCGTAGTAATAGAACTTAAGTTTTAATTATTTACCTATTATATTAAAATGATTTAAGAATATATCACGATCCCATTTCTCATTACGAATTTTTATTCAACAATCATACATTTTAATTGATTGCGAGCATGTTCAACATTTTATTCGGAATTTATAAAAAATAAAAAATTCATCATGATTCTAGTAACATATCATATTGAATAAATGAATGATATAGTAAAATTTTATAACCTATTTATATATACAACCTTTAAGGTAGATAAATAATTTAACGACTCATTGGTCTAGTGGTTAGTACCCCTGACTGCGAAACCATGGGTCCCGGGTTCGATCCCCGGCTGAGACGAACATCGATGTGATGAGCATTTGATGTTGTGCTTAGGTCTTGGGTGTTTAAATATGTATTTATATGTCTATCTATGTATAATATGTATGTATATCCGTTGCCTAGTACCCATAACACAAGCTTCACCAGCTTAGCATGGGACTAGGTCAATTGGTGTGAATTGTCTTTAAAAAAAAAAAAATAATAAGTCTTTGGAACCTTCCTTCTTCAGTTTAGAAGCCTTTTTCTGTTACTCTCGTCACACTTTACGGAGAATCATAAGAGACAAAGTATTGTTAAATCAAATTAGGTCTGTTTTTGTTTGAATAAAATAATTCCAAATTCACTATGAATCTAAAGAAACGTGATATTTTTTAGAGTAATTCTGTCTTTATACCATAATTGTGACCATGAATAGGGTCCCAAATGTATAAAACGTGACATTGATAGATCAAAGGTACCATTCATAGTCAAACGATCTTGAGGTAAACGTTTTGGAAGGTGTTATCATTTATAATGTTTAGATGAAAGCCCAAGTATATATTATAATTCTATTTTTAAATTTCCAAGGTCCAAAAAAGTCAGTTTACAGCGTGTAAGTTAAGGCTTTGTCATCACTCATCAGTGATATTGTATGTAATTCTATTTAAATAAACAAATTTTGAAGGAGCTATAGAAGAGTCGGAAGGTGCCATCTGGGTCTAACGTCATTGAAAAATGTCTCAACATCTAATGTCATTGAAAAATATGTAAACGTGTAATGTCATTGAAAAATGTCTAAACGTCTAATGTCATTGAAAAATGTCTAATGTCATTGAAAAATGTCTAATGTCATTGAAAAATGTGTAAACGTCTAATGTCATTTAAAAACTTAAAAAAACGTCTTTCTTCCTTGCTATTTTAACAACTATGTTACGTGCTATTAAATTTGTTGCCTGAATGGGAATAAGATGTATCTCGTTTTAGTTACGAACAAAGCGGGACAGTGACGTATCATCCCAGCTACAGTGGTCAGAAGATGAGGATTTCTGGGACAAGAGAAATGTCGGGTCTTGACGAGACGAATTCACAATACGAATGGCTGGGTAAAGCGGATCTTATCGCGAAAATCTATCTCAAACGTTTTCATTCGTGTGTTTATGTGTTGATAGAAAGTTGTTCGTTTTAGTATTTTTACAATAGAACTTTAACGAAATTGAATTGCCTGCTTTGATATAGTTGTTCTAAGGTTTTTAAATATCTGTGTTATCCAGATCGAGCCCATTTGAAGTAATTTTTGAAGTGAAACTTTAGGCGCATGAGGGTAAAATTTTTACGGATGAAACGCAATAATAATAATAATAATATTAGCGTCACGAAGATGTGCAGCGATTATGTCGAAGAAAAGAGAGAGAGCAATTGAGAGACAGTGAGAAGGGCTAATTCGCCCTTATAGAAATTCTATTTTTAAAATTAAAATTTCGTATAGAATTTATGAAATATTCGTATTTTATATTTTACGCAAACTAATTTATTGTATAAATTTAAATGCCACGTGTTTTTATTATCGAAGAAATAAATTTAAAAAAATAATTTATGATTTGTATTAATTTTCGACACTTTTAATATTTTAATGACAATTAAATTAATTCAATTCCTAACATATCTTCCTTTTTATCGCTCTCTAAGTATATATACATATATAATATGAACAAGACTTAAAAATTAGTTTGCCAAAGAAGTTTCACTTCTGACATGTGTACCTACTTTGTACGCACGCACTTTATTTTCTGAGAACTAACAAGCTAGAGTGCGGGTCAAAATTACATTGCCCTTCGATAGAGTAGATTATTATTTCCCAATAGGTTTATTTGTGAACTGTCTTTATATTTAAGGCTAACAGCCATACTCAGAGACGATCATTATATCTAATAGAAGATAAATATATGTTAAACAAAATCTAGCCAAAT